GTTGTACATTTGCTGTCATGTTAAACTTATATTAAAGTTTTTCTTCATTACCCATTTAAGCCGTCTCCAGCCATTATTAAACAAACAAATATTTGACTAGGATGAGATGTCTTTAGAGAATTTTAACAACTTGTTTTAAAATATTAAAATATTTTAATTACCAACAAATGATATGAACCTTATTTTTCCCTTTGATATTTCAGTCATTAATGTAAATAATAATAATTCATGGTAAATAGCTGTATATTTTTTTCTCCTATAAATTATAATATTGTATTAAGTTTATTATTACTTACTCCCCGTTTTACTGAGGTATCACTTAAATAGCGCCACCTATTTTGTATTTGCTATGGATAAAATTCTAAATGAGGGAACCAAACAGAAAACAAAAAAAATTCTAAACGGTCACAAAGTAGGTCATGCTTTGTGAAGAATTAGGGTTTTTATCTGGCCTGAAACATAAGGTATAAATATTGTAGTGCGTATATGGATAACCAGTTAAAAGTTAACTATACATTGGGTTTGATCCTTGGCCGTGCAGAAGTTGGATCACCAAGGCAAAATTAGCACACAGCCAGTGACTTTTTCACGTCTCTCGTGTTAGGCTGGAGAATGGGGGTGTTCTGTAAGGGGAGAGGGGTTGACTAGTTTAAGAACATCTTACTAGTTGTAACTTGACGTTAACCCTTCAGTTGAAATTGCAGATCGCTCGTCTGGCGTGCGAAAGGTACCGGATTCGATCTCGGGCTACACAGAAGTCGGATTTTACAAGAGACGCATTTAGAATTGTACTGGCTCTTTATTGGTGTGTTCTGTGCCACGTGAGATTTTCCAAGTTCCGCATGAACGTTAGGAGTTTCTAGTTAAGCCTCGGCTTTAAAAACTAGACTTATCTAGTTTCCTTTACATAATATGATTCGAAACCGCTGTTTTGATAGTCTTAACTGAAATCACCAAGAAAGAATTAATAAAGTACAAAAAAAATCAAAAGACATTTGAATTTTAAGTGATCAGAAGATACAACACTAGAAGCAACTTGTATATTTTGAGCATATTTTTCGTAATCAACTAAAATTCTGAAAGTATTTTCTAGGATTCAGAGAGAGATAAAAAAGCAAAGCCAAGCCTAATCCTTATGGGAACCTAAGTTTCAGATAAAGAATACATTGGGCCTGAATCTTATTGGCATATCTAATAGCTCACTCTTCTATTTAAAATAATTCCAACTTAAACATTTTCACTGATTGAGAGGTTATGTAGAACAGCTGATCATCCTAGTAATTATCACTCACACACACTGTCGTGTTTAAAAGAGAGTTTGTTTTGAATTTTGCGCAAAGCTACATGGGGGGGGGGGGGCTATCAGCGCTAGCCGTCCCTACTTTAGCAGTGATAAATTAGTCAACATCACCCACTGCCAACTCTTGGGATACTCTTTTACCTTGGAATTGACCTTCGCATTATAACGCCCCTAAGGCTGAAAGTGACTAGCGTGATCGGTGTGACGGTGATTCGAACCCGCAACCTCATATTGCAAGTCGAGCACCCTAACCATCAGGGAGAGAGCTATTTGTCTTTATGTGCAGAGCTTCAAAATGCAGGGATCAGCCCTTGAATTTTAGCGTTTTATCTCCTAAAGGTTATCATTGAGGCACCGGGAGGAAAAGAGTTGATCTCTTCCAAGAGCAAAATAAGTGCATGTAGCTATATATTTGTTTTATAAAGGTCAACAATTAGAACTTAGGAAACCTAATTTTCCTAACTACTTTGATTTGGTCTGTTCCGGATATTCGTACACAACAACCATCTGTGCTAGCCATCCCTAATTTTGAACTAATTGTTTAGAGGAAAAGTAGCTAGTCAACAGCACCCGCCGCCAACTGTTGGGCTACTGTAATTGAATACTGGGCTTTGACCGTCAATCTAATAATGCACACACGGTATCAAAGTGCGAACAGCGATTTCTTTCACGACAGTGGGACATTGGTTATGCTGGTAGATGACATGATGGGTTATGATGGTAGATGACATGATGGGCTATGATGGTAGATGACATGATGGGTTATGATGGTAGATGACATGATGGGCTATGATGGTAGATGACATGATGGGTTATGCTGGTAGATGACATGATGGGTTATGCTGGTAGATGACATGATGGGTTATGCTGGTAGATGACAAATAAACAACTTTTGTTTACCAACTGATACCGACAGAGACAAAACTTACACAAACATTGCTGCACATACGTTTGCCCACGCACACTTCCATATAGATGACAATGACACTATAACTCGAATTCCTCCATTTAAATGCAGTAATATGTTGAGCTGGCTAACAAGTTTTGGTTCATTACGATTTTAGAAATTGACCCACTCAACCACCCCCACTCTCAACGAAAACGACGTTCCGAATACTCATGCGTGAACTATAATTTTTGTTTGATTGCCACCAGGGGGCTACCTGAATGCTAGTAAGTCTTGATGAAGTGTTTTAAAAGGAATTACAGAAACATTTGATTGGAAAGGTGGTTTCTGTAGCGGATCCCACTAATCTGACTTTACTTTTCATGCAATTACTTATGCTAAGTTAATACTACCCACAATAAGTAAAAAATGTCATTTAAACAGAGAGAAAATATACCAAATTATAATAATGTTTTACCATAATGTGGAATAATTCATTCTGTCTATATTCACAAGCCCTATGTAACGTTGGTTCGAATCCCATCATAAACGTTGGATTTGATGAAATCGACAACATCAATTTTCTTTGAAACCAATTCGCGTGAAATGCTTCAATAGAAGTGCTTATATATATATATATAACTGATATAGCAG